GTTAAAAGACATGGCAAAGGGAAGTAAACAAAAATATTTTTGTGTGTCATTTGAAGGAGTGACCACCGGCGCTGTTCATGCAACACGCTGATGCCACAGAATTGCAAAGGAGGAGTTTGATTATCACAGTGGAAAACAATATCTGTAATTTGAAACTCAAAACAGCGAACGAACCGTATAGGAATGGCAGTCCGAGAAACTGAAGTGCGTCAGAAGAAGAGAGGAAATAGATAGTTAAAGATGGAATATAAATGAACGCTGCTAGGGAGGTAAGATCAGCTATCGAATGATAAGCGTGGGCTCTGATTATTTTTGAATCTCTCCCATAAAGATTTGAGGCTTCTGCGTGTATTTGTTTTGGTTGTCGGGGAGAAAAAAAATTACAAAGGAGTACGTTTTGGTTCCTTGTCCATGGCGAGCAAAAGCTATAGCTCCTGTGCTCCTCTAATGGATCGCTTCCTTATCCTGGGTTTGGAATGCGCTGGGGTAGCATAGCTGTCCGCAGGGCGACGGGATTATTTTGCGTTGTTTTCGTTTTGGCAAGCTGTCACGAGCGCGCGGCCCAGTTAAGACGGGTAGCCACGTGGTGGAGCCGGTCGGAAGGAGAACAGCTCGCCTAAAAGCAAGCGGGAGGAGGGAGGGAGGGGGAGAAAAGAACGCCGAGCTCCCCGGGGGAGGGAAATGTTCTGTTCTGTACCGCTCGCTCCTGCAGTTGCCGAGGCGATGAGAGGCTGCGCTGATGATGCAAATGTGTAAACCGGTTCAAGAGGCACGTAAGCGCCGCCCAGATCCTAAATTCTGCCGACGCTTCTGAGCCAGCCCGCAGCCGCAGGTGCAGCCCTTTTCTTTGCTTCTTCCTCGTGATAGCCGAAGTTATAGAGGACCATACTGGAAAAAAAGAGGGAAGCGGTTGTAAAGCTGCACTATAAGAAAAGCCCTTGTTTACATGTATAGGAAATTAGGGGCCGTGCTGGTGCAAGAGTTAGAGATCACAAGATCCACAGTGTTGGATCCTGCGTCTGTTCCCTTAATAATAAACTCTGTTCAGGAAGATTAGCCCCCGATAAAAGAGGTAGACCGCATCCATTTGTTTTAAGTTTGACGAATTAGTTCGTAATTATACATCTACATGTCAACTTCCGGGATACAGGAAAAAATATTTATAAACAATGTGTATTCGCAATGGTGGAAATATTTATATGTACAATATAGAGCATAAGCCACCCAGATTGAAATATTGTGAATATCAGTGATCGGATGTGTGTGTTTGTGTGTGGAGTAGGACAGTTTAGGAATTTCACACGTCTACCAAATACAAAAATGACATTTTAAGTACAATTCTGCATTTCAAGGAATAGGTCGCTAACTTTGCAAAAGGGACCATACTTTCCACTAACCAGAAGAATAACCTGTGTTTCTAACTGGCACATTTTCAGTAGCATTTTATTTTTTGCTTTGGAGATAAGGTTATTTGTTATGCATTCTGTTAATTATGAAAATTTAAAAAAACTGGAAAGAATGAAATTACAGACACAGTGTGTCACTATATAGTCTTTATTTTCAAAACGTTTTGCTGGTGCTTATGGTTGCAGTGAGCTGTATTTCTCAAACATACTATTTTAAAAAAAAATATTCTATGCATTGTGTTAGTTTAAAATAAGTGCTGTGAAAGTAATCCATATCTAAATGATCTTAAACCTGTGACCAAGTTATATGTTTTAATGTTTTCTGTGGATTTTTCTTAATAAATTTATGATTGTTTCCTATAATAACTAACACTGCATTTTAGCTGTCTTAAAGCTACATAGGCTTCTACATAATTATGATGAAATTGGATCTGCAGGAAAAATTATAGAGATTCCTGACTGTTCAGAATTCCAGATAACCGTGCCCTTTTTAGGACTTATACCACTTCCTGCCCCCAAGACATAGATAGTCTGTGCTGGCATTTTGTTGTACTGAATATGCTTAGTAGTGATTAGGCAGTCTTGGTTCAGCCTTCCTTGTTTTTACAAATAGTATTGGCTTTTCTCTGGGTTTTATTAAGCTTCAAGAATTTGGGATATGGAAATGGTATCTCAATATAAAAGGATCCAGAATCTATTGTTAAGAGTTTTGTTTTTAACAGACTTCATATTGTCCTAACTTGAAATGGATTCATTGTTTTCAAAAAAATGTACTAAATCTAGCTCATACTGCAAATGTACGATTTGAAAATAAATTTTCTGTGATTAACTTTTAAGAATAATAAGTGCTGCTATATCTTATAGCAAAAAGCAAATGATACTATCAGTGTACATATTAGGGATGTGAAAAGCATTCCAATCTAGTAATGGCTGTTTTGAATGTTCAAAAATGAAACATGTTCCATTCAAGTGGCTCTATTTTGAATATTCTGATTGAATTTCAATTGGACAATTAATTTGGCTGGATTTTTTGTTCTTCTAACCATTTTCCAACCTAACTGGCACAGCAGCATGGGCCAATCAACTCCCTACTGCTATTGAGATTGATGGAATGGGATGGGTAAATTGTAGGTGGGTTTTGTCTGGTTCATTATTTTGCAAGCAGGTCAGGCGAAGGTGTGAATTGTTATCTATTGGTTGAATCATGGCAGTTGCCATGGTTCAACCTTTAGATACCTTTGCCTGGATGATTGAGAGTCTTCATGGACATCTGAATTGTGTTTCATACAAAACTTGCTAATGCTCCTAGGGTTATATAAAGAGTACTGGTATAGTGTGGGTTTGGCAAACTTAAACTTAATTTGATAAGCTTTGACAGTTTTGCATATTATCTGCTTACTCTTAAGCACTATTGACACGATATTAAAAAGCAACAGCAAATTTGCCCCTACATTATTTTCTTTTTGCAGCCAGCAGTCTCTCCTGTATACAAGCAAAAAGACATAGCAAAGAACTAAGCAATTACTTTTGCTGGGCCTAAACCCAGGGCTTTTTTTCTCATAGAACGGCCAGAATGGAGTTCCGGCACCTTTTTGGGATGGAATCTTGTAGGGTAGGCAAGGAGGGTTGTATGATGTGTGCACTTTTTTTTTTTTTAAAGAAAAAAAGCACTGCCTAAACCTAACAGAATGTCTACAAAAAGAAACACAAAATCTGTTACTTCAGTTATGTAGCAAGATGAAATATCAATCCCTATAGAAAAATTGACTAAGAAACTTCTTAATATTTTGAAAAATATCTTCATAAAAAACTACAATTTATTTTTAATCCCTTGGGTTCACATATGCTAGCAAAACTAATTTTTTAAAAAATTAGTTTGGTTCAACAATCTGGGAAAGAAATGGAAAACACTGATTTTCTGTTGTGAAAAGAATGTCACTTGATGATACCTGTTTAGATTAAAATATTTTTTTCCAGTGACCAAGTACAGAGATGTATTCCACAGTTTCCCATGGGATTTATTTAATGTTTTCAAAAATGTTTGAAAAATGCTGCCAGTCTCTTCTTAAAAACCTCCAGTGATGGAGCAACCACAACTTCTGGAGGCAAGCTGTTCCACTGATTAATTGTTCTTACAGCCAGGAAATTTCTCTTTAGTTCTAGGTTGGATTTCTCTTCTATAAGATTCCAACCATTACTTCTTGTCCTGCCATCAGGTGAAAATTTATATGGTTGCCCACTTCAAGTGATTCTGTGTGGCTTATAAGGATAAAACCCAATATAAAAACAATAAAAAGCAATAATTCCTTCTCCCCCCTGGTGACAATAGTCAAACATTATGACCTTGAGGAATAAATCATAGTAACAACAGTCCTGAGTTCCAGTTTTCTCTGGCCATAATACTTGAAACTTTCTACTTTTTTTTAATTGAAGTATAGCAATAACATTCTGGTGGAGCATTTTAAAAGGGAGTATTTTATTCCAGATCCAGAACAAAGCATTTTAAAATTTTGCTTTGTACATACCCTTATGATTTATGCTTTTAGCTCCAGTTATATTCTTGCTTTCAATATGATTGACTATTTAGTATAAAATTATATGGTTTATTAAGAAATAATCTGAATTATTTCCTTATTTCCTAAATAATAATAATTTATTCAACTTATATGCCATCCATCTCTCAAAAGTACAAGTGCAGTCAAGTGACGGATCTCATTTTGTCACCGAAGGCCTGGGTAAATGGGGCTTTTAGTGCTATGTTACTGTGAGTATTTAAATAGTCTCACGATACTCAACAAATACATTGTCTGTTTCATAATAGAATCAATTGAAGATAATCATTCTTAATGGTATAAAATTTTATTATAGAATAAAGTATCAAATGAAGTTTCTGTGTAATACATACAAAAAGCAGGAAAGCTATAGTAAATAAATAGTTCCATTTTCAAATCTTTATATCATTGGCTTGCTTGTAATTGATTCCTTAAGACAAAGTAAACACTTGCTTGATCAGTTTCTTCTGTTCTACTATTACCTATGTTTTTTGAGAGCAAATAAAGCCTGAGGTATAAAAACAAATAATTGAAATGCTGTTTGTGTGTGTGTGTGTGTGTGTGTGTATTAGTGATAAGAATGTCACTTTTCCATAAAATAGTAGAAAGCGGTTGTTTCAGTTTTGGAATCAATTTTATTTTTTTCTTATGTTTAACTATATTTATACTGCTGTTTTCTACGTAATGTTCCATAGCTGTATGTCAGCTCTAAGGGGGAAATTTTGTAGTCTTGTAAGGAGTCTAATTATTCTAGTTTCTGCATCAGTATTGCCTGCAAAAGGCCAGTCCAAAAGTGAAGGATAGAAAAAAATTGATGCATCATTTATATTGGATTGATAATGGCTTCTATTCCTAAGCTAAACATTATTTTCACTTTTTTTCAGTATTCCTTAAGAAGAAGAAAAAACTTTGTTCACTCTATAGAATTTTTAGGTTCTGTGCTTTCTTACCTTTCATGAATAAAATTTAAATGATGAATATGAACAAGAAATACATAAAATTGATGTTTAATCCAAATAAATATTTAGCTGTTTGAACCTTATTTTTTTTTTGCCTAACCACCACATAGTTACTTACTATAGGATATCATGCCACCAGAAAAGATATTAATGGAATTATCAGTGACAGTTCTCACTAATGTATGCATGGGCCTTCATTTGCACTAGGTGCTTTGGGTAATAAGCAAATAAAGCATTGAAATGAGTCATGAAAAGAAATGAAAAATTATGCCATGCAAAGGGGATTAGGCCCCCCAAATAGAATACTAAGAATCACAGAGAAAGTAATTGGGTGTTAAGTGAACCCCAGTCAAACCTGTGCCAAATTACAAGTTTGACAGTGAAAATGAGAGAAGAAAGGACAAGCAATTACAATGTTTTGACCAAAGAATATAAAGAGTTGAGTGCTTCTTTGGTAGACCCAAGAGAAGTACAATAACCAGACCAATAGAATTTGGAATAAGTTACAGCATTGGAGATTTGATTGTTTTGGATCCGTTAGTGAACAAGATAGAGTTGCTGGCAAATACACTATGGAAGAGCTGAAGTATTTTTATCTGTAGGAAGGAGGTAACACTTCAGCATTGGGCCAGTTTCTACCAGGGATCTAATTTGTCAGTTCAATAGCTCCCTCATAGATTTACCAGCAAGCTTTTTGGGTTAGATAGGGCTCTTCAGTACCTCTAGTGCAGTTGCCATTTGTAGCAGTTTCAAAGTGTTTGCTTGGTTGGATTTTTCATAAAGGAAGTTGAGTGAAGAAAGTTGGATAATGTTTGTAGAAAAATACCACATACAAACAGCATTTAAACAGAAAGGCCATATTGTATAGTTGAATGTTTTGTAGCAATATAAAAATGTCTGTGCATGTCTGCACAAGTGCATATACTGCTGTTTCATAAAGAGGAGGGTATTGATATTGTAAAGGCATCTCTATATGCCTTTGCTATCTTTAAAAACTAATAGGTATTAACATAGGATTGTCTGATCTATTCTAATAGTTAAAAGTATTATTTGTCCCCTCCATGTTACTATATCTGGACTTGTTCTTAACAGAAAAAAATAAACAAAAAGGATAAAACATGCCTCAAATGGGAAGGTTCTCCCTGTGCTTTTCCTGTCTGGTTAATAGGTAATAAAATCAAAGTATTTAACTAGGAATAGCAAATGCATGTTTTGTAAACATAATTTCTGCTTGTTTTCCTAAATCAGATGCACTAAGAAAGCTCTGTTCAAAAGCCTTCTCTAAAAGCTGCCAGAATAACTACTTCTATAATTGTAATTCATTTTTTTCTGATACACCTCTTTTTGGTTGCCAAGTAACCAGTCACATTGCTTAGAATCCATATTATTATAGTATCTTCATTGTTAATCTTATGCCCTATCCTTTTTCAATTTATTTTGTATTTTAATTACTCAGTTTAATGAAACAAGGAGAGGACATTCATACACATGTTTGAAACACTAAAGATGACTAAGGATATAATTTTAGGCCCTTTCTACGGTAATCAGCTAAACAGGCCCCTTGCTATGAGAATTCAGGTTGCTACGGTTACCTATGGAAACTCAGGACATGGATGCACAAAGCTCAGTACCTCACGTCTCAACATCCGCTAATGTGTCCTTGCTTCTGTATCTGAGTCCCATCGCCACCCCCAGACTTTAGTTGTAGGATAACAAGCTGAAATTTACCTAACAGAATTCACCAGTTGTAGAACTCTACATTCAACTTACACAATGGAATGGAGACCAATACATCAAATATCATTCAAGTTAAGCTGAAAGACAAAAAGACAACTGTTTTAACTGGTGATCTGAGTAAGTTTTAGCCTGACATAAATGTTTTCTTTATCCATTAGACTCTGAAATAAGCATCATTCTGTGATATGTTCTTTTCTGAGAGGGTAGACAAGAATAGCATTAGTAGGATTTCATTGCATATCTTAAACAAAAGAATATTAATTAAATATGAGTAAAAGAAAAGGAGTTGGAAAATGAAAGATTAACATAGGATTTAAAGCTTAGCAACTAAATATTGGATCTTGGTATTCTCTAAATAGCTAACCTAAAAGATAAGCTAAATATAGATTTTTGAAAGATAAAGTTACTGTCAGAATCCATTTATATTTCATTTCTATCTACCTCCTCTGATCTAAAACCAAATCTTACCTTCCCCTAGATTCTGCCATACTCTCAAGGGAGAAGGGGGATATGCCTGCGGAGTTATGACTTTCACTTCCTCTATTCACTACAATGTAACCTTTTGTTTATTGCCGCTGGATCTGCTGGCCATTACAATGTAACAAATTGCCCCCTTTAATATGCATCTCTCTGAACTTTCTTCTCCCTAACCAGGCAGTTAGGAAGGGGGGGAAAGAAGTATAAACTTCCGGAACCTGGCTTATTTCTCCGGTCCCAAAAGGAGGTGTGAAGAGCTGTGGAACATCGTACTACAAATGGAGACAGGCTGATGATATCTTCCCTTTCCCACGATGGACTAACCACCTGGGGATTGGCCAGTCTGAACCATCCGGATGAACTGTAGGCTGGAGTTTGCTTAGGGACCTTTAAAGCAGTGGTTCTCAACCTTCCTAATGCCACGACCCTTTAATACAGTTCCTCATGTTGTGGTGACCCCCAACCCCCCCAGTCAGCTGGCTGGGGAGGGGGGCAGAAAGGCCGCTCTGCCGGCTCCGCCCAGCCTGGTTGGAGAAGCGCTCAGGCAGGGAGAGGGAGGGAGGGAGGGGGAGGGAGAGAGAGAGAGAGCCAAGAGGGTGACAGCACCGGCAGAGCTTAGTTCAGCCTCCTCCGCGGAAAGGGCCACGAAGCAGCACAGCATCCCTTAGGACAGCGGTAGGCAACCCAAAACACTCAAAGAGCCACTTGGACACGTTTCCCACCGAAAACAAAACACTGGGAGCCGCAAAACCCTTTTGATATCTAAAATGAAGATAACACTGCATATATCCTTTTTTACTTTTAATGTATGTATGTATGTATCTGTGTTTGTGTGTGTATATATAAAATAAAGGTAAAAAAGGATATATGCAGTGTTATCTTCATTTTAGATGTCAAAACGGTCTCTATCTGTCTCTTTCCTCTCTTTCCTCTTTTTTCTCTTTCCTCTCCCTCTCTCTCTCTCTTTCCTCTTTTTCTCTTTCCTCTCCCCCTTTCTCTTTCTCTTTCCCACTTTCTCTCTCTCCCTCTCTCCTCTCTTTTCTTTTCCTCTCTTTTTCTCTTTCCTCTCCCCTTCTTTCTCTCTTTCCTCTCCCTCTTTCTCTCTCTCCCTCTTTCCTCTCTTTCCTTTTCCTCTCTTTTTCTCTTTCCTCTCCCCTTCTTTCTCTCTTTCCTCTCCCCTTCTTTCTCTCTTTCCTCTCCCCTTCTCTATCTCTTTTCTCTCCCTCTTTCCTCTCGCTTTCTCTTTCCTCTCTTTTCTCTCTCCCTCTTTCCTCTCTTTTTCTCTTTCTCTTTTTCCTCTCTCTTTCCTCTCCCTCTCTTTCTCTTTCCTCTCTTTCTCTTTCCTCTCTCTTCTCTCTCTCTTTTTCTCTTTCCTCTTTCTCTCATTCCTCTCTTTCTCTTTCCTCTCTTTCTCTCTCTCTTTCTCTGTTTCCTCCCTCTTCTCTTTCTCTTTCCTTTTTCTTTCTCTCTTTCCTCTCGCTTTTCCTCTGTTTCTCTCTCTTTCCTCTCTCTATTTCTCTCTCTGTCTTACAGCAGCAGCATCAGGGGTCCCCTCTGCCCCCGGCCTGGCCTCCGCCGCATCCTCAGCTGAATGGGTGGGGAGGGGGAGCAGGACGGGAGGCAGCGGCTCCGATGGCAGCGGCAGTGGCACAGATGCATCGTCGGGGATCCCCACCACCTGGGTCTGGTCGCCACCCCCCCACCAGAACTTCGCACTGCCTGGCCTCGCCCTCCGCCCATCGATGGAGCCGCGGTGGGGACAGCGCCTGCCCGAGCCACCTAGGGGGGCAGCAGGAGGAACAAGGAGAGGAGGAGGGCGAGGAAGCAGCCGCCCCAGCCTCGCCCTCTGCCCATCTGATGGAGCCGCAGTGGGGGCTGGTGCTGCGCGGCCCCTGCCAGCCCCTTTGCCAGCCTGGCTGCTCCCCCCCAGGTACCCCTCCTGCCCCGGCACTCGGCCAAGCCACCTGGGAGGCACCAGGAGGAAGAAGGAGAGGAGGAGGGTGAGGAAGCAGCCGTCCCAGCTGGGACTCCGCGCTGCTCGGCCTCACCCTCCGCCCATCCGATGGAGCTGTGGTGGGGGCTTGTGCCGCGTGGCCCCTGTCAGCCCCTCCGCCAGCCTGGCTGCTCCCCCCAGGTACCCCTTTTGCCTCGGTGCCTGCCCGAGCCACCCAGGGGGTACAGGGGGAAGAAGGAGAGGAGGAGGGCGAAGAAGCAGCCACCGCCGCCCCAGCTGGGACTCCGCACTGCCCGCCCTCTGCCCATCCAGTGGAGCTGCGGCAGGGGCTGGTGCCATGTGGCCCCTGCCAGTCCCTCCGCCAGCCCGGCTGCTTCCCCCCAGGCACCCCTCTTGTCCCAGCGCCTGCCCGAGCCGCCTGGGGGGCAGCAGGAGGAAGAAGGGGAAGAGGGCAAGGAGATAGAGGAGCGGTGTCTCAGTTCCTAAGACCATCAGAAATATGTGTTTTCCGATGGTCTTAGGCGATCCCTGTGAAATGGTCATTCGACCCACAAAGGGATCGCAACCCACAGGTTGAGAACCTCTGCTTTAAAGTATCGATCTGTAAAGAATCCCTCAGATCCTGTCTATTATGCCTGCTATCAACTACTCTTAATAAAAGTTCCTGTTGGAAGAAATTGTTCCCAAGAGTTCTACTTTCTTAAGATGTGGGATTGAAGTGGGTCCTTACAATTACAATTTATATATGATCATAAAGTGATCTTCAGTGGCAGTGTAGATTTGGAAGGAGATCATCTAGTCCAGCTGTCTGCCCAGGACAGAAATCCATACAACTAGTCCTCAACATATGACCACAATTGAGCCCAAAATTTCTGTTGTTAAGCAAGACAGTTGCTAACTGAGTTTCGCCCCATTTTACAATTTCTCTTGCCATGGCTGTTAAGTGAATCACTATAGTTGTTAAGTTATTAACATGGTTATTAAGTGAATCTGGCTTTCCCATTGATTTTTTCTTGTCAGAATGTTGCAAAAGGTGATTATATATCCCAGGATACCACAAGCATTTGAATTTTGATCATGTGATCATGGGGATGGTGCATTGTTCATACATGTGAAAAATGGTCATAAGTCACTTTTTCAGTGCTGTTGTAACTTTAAACAGTCACTAAACAAATGGTTGTAAGTCAAGGACTACCTGTACTGTAGTATTTGTAATGGATGACCATCTAGCCCTTATTTAGACACCCACCCTGATGCCTTTGATTCTTTATTCACAATTGTAGGACTTGCTATGAAATTCATCTCACTGGTTTCTGTCTATTCTGTCTGTTGTTCCAATTTGTTAAAAGTTATTGCTGCCAGCTTTTTCTTGAATAATCTGCAGATGTGATAACTGTATTTTCTAAGGCCTTATCCAAGTCATTGATAAGTACATTAAGCAGCACAGGGAGTCCTGTAGTCTGGCTCAAGACATTTCCTTCCATGTGACACAGAATCATTGACATCCATAGTTTCATTGGGCATGATTATTTCGTCAGCTCTGCATCTGTTTATCTCCTGGTTCTAACTGGGAGCTCTCCTTTTGTCCAAAAGATAACAGTGGGTTCTTCTTGACCAAAATAGCAAGTTTCTGAAAGTTTTGTATAAAAATAGAAAATAAATGTTTATCCTTAAGTTTTGCAACAATAGAATTACCACTTTGATCAGCCAGCATTTGTTATTAATGGACCTTTTAAGGGATCCTTTAAAGGTTGATCAGGTTAAAGTCATATGACAGAGCAGACAGATTACATTTGCTTCTGAATCTCATTCTTCATTCAGTGAGATTTCTGGCCAGCATAAAAGTAGTAGTAGTAAGTAAATAATGTATTTTAATTTATTTGATTTCATGTGGCCATCCACTCCAGAAGTGGATTATAAAATCCACAAAAAAATTAAAACAAACTCACATAAATAGGTCATCCAAACTAAAACAATTAGAATAACAATATAGAAAGTATGAAATAATAATATGATTGGGACCTCAATAGTAATAACAACAACAATAAAGTTGGAAGGGACCTTGGAGGTCATCTAGTCCAATTGTATAGAGTTTTCTGCTCAGGCAGAAAACTCTATACAATTCATAAAAATGGCTGTCCAGTTGATCCCACCCATATTGACCCAGGCCTGGAGACAGAACCAAGTTTTAAGGGCTTTCCAGATCTGAAGAAAGTGGGAGCTGTATCTCTATTATTTGAATTATTCAAATGTCTAAATTTTTCTAAGAAACTCATTGACAGGTCTCTGCTACACATTTGATATTATGTGAAAACTATTTTAAACTAGGGAAAAAATCGAAATATAATTTAAAGTATAAAGAGTAAAGTGAAAAATAGCCTTACCTTTTTTCAGCTTCTAAGTATGATGTAATGCATATTTGCTGGTCAATTATTATGGCAAAGTAGTAACTTAATTAGTAGTAGGTGGATTAGACATAGCTCAGCATGGAAGTTTATATGGTTTATATTGACATAATAACATACAGTCGGGTCTGTTTATATGGTTTATATTGACATTCCTAAACAGTCGGGGTCTGTATAGGAAAATGAAATGTACTGATGTATATTCACTATGTGGTTAGTTAGGCCATATCCCTTCCTTCTA